AACGGGTCATGTTAGTAAAATTATGACCCCAAGGTCTATTTGTGTTTTAAAATAATTAGTTTCACCATCTAAAAAGGTTAACATTACAGTTTGTTGTCTGTTTATCCGCTGTATCTGTATAAAACTTTTGTGTTTTAATGAAAATGAAAATTATTAATAATTTGGTAAATGTAAAATTTGTTAAATAAGTCCATAAAAATAGGAATAAATTAAAAATATTTTTTTAAAGTAATAAAACATTTTTTTGGTTGCATAAATTTAGTGGATAAAGACTTGATATGTATTTTGGTATATGTATCATGTATGAATACATGAAAATTAGGTCGGGCTATAAATAACAAATTCCATTTTCATACACCTATCTGCAGAAACATTGTTCGAGCCCTCGAAGAATCACGAAAGTACACACAAGAATGACGTTACATTTTCGATTCCACCGTTGATATAACGCTTAAAATCCGTCATTACAAGCATAAACATCGCAATCGGAATCTTTTCCAGTTCAAAGATCTCAGATTTATTGTTAGCAATGGCGAAAACTCGACCAGGCAAGAGAGACTTGGAATTCTACACCATCAGAGGCACCAATAAAGTAGTCCGAGGTAATACATACAAACATACAACACGCGAAAGCATTTACTTGCTGAAATAGATTTCCTTTTCAGATTTTTAATTTGTCCTTCAGATTTTGTTTTAGGAACAAATGTTTGAGACTAATGGAATCATGACATAACGATGTACTTTCAAACCCTAGTGTAGTAGGTGATTTGAATACCCTTTGTTTATGTGAGACTTTATTATGTAAAATTTGTGTGTGGTTTGCATGTTTCCATCTGTAGTTGCTAGGGTAATGTAAGTAGGGCACTGGAATTACTAGATATGCGTGGTTTTGAAATTTTTTTCTCTCTTCAAAAGAGTCTTGAAAAGAGCCAGATTTGTTGTTTGAGTTTTTCTTTCCAAAAGAGCGCACATGTGGCCCCACATCTAGCTGGTGTAGGACACCAACAAGAACTACAACTGATTAGATTACAGTATATGGTTTTTTTCTTTTCTTTTGGTTTGAGTCCAGTTTCACTCTATATTCTCACAAAATTTATTTTGCTAGCTGAACTATAGTCAAACCTAGAACATGATAACTGGACTTTTGTGCGTTTGTGTGTGTAAAATTCACTTACAACTCTTTAGAAGCTGAAGTCGATTCTTTGTAGCATGTACACACACATTGTAGCTATATTAAACAATACATATGGATGAATTTGTGACTAGAGTTGCAAGCATAGGGTACTTGAGATAGAACTGAATAGAAATGCTTCTTTGTTTTATGAGTTTCTAGAGTAAAGAAATAGGAAATGTAATAATATTTTTTGCCCTAGTTCAAAAGAAAGTATTTTTTTTTTCATGTTTTCAAATTGGAGCAAAAGGGAAGAAAACTAACAATTTTATCATTATACTATATCTAAAGAAATGAAAAGAAAGTGTTGTGCTTTAACCTTTAGGTCAAGGTAGTTTTTTCATGATCTTTTTCTCTGAAGTCTTCTAAGTTTCTTCCTCGTCAAACTTCCCATATTTGTAATGAAATTTTTGAATAGAAAAGTAACCAAAACTTCCCTCGTTTCTTTCTTTTCTAAAAACCTCAAGAACAAGGAAACTTTTAGGTTCTTTCCTAAATTTTCCCTTTTGATCCCTCAGACACAATGTTGTAGATCAATTTTTAAGTTGGGAATCAATGGGAAAACCTCATTTCCTGACCTTCTCTATTAAATCGTTCTTTCTGCATTAAGTAAAAAAGAAACACCAATCTAAGGGGTTGTTTCTTTTTGACCTAAAGGGCTTAATGGACTAAGCACTTCACCTGAACAACTATACATGGTTGTTTCTTTGTGATTTAATCCGGACATAATGACTTAACCAAAAACCTAGCTGAATATATTAAAACACTAACCTATTTGCCTATTTTCCCTGTTTATTTTTTCCTCTCACGTTAAACTTGATGAATATTTGATTGTTGGAATATATGGGTTTAACGGTCATTTACTCTCATTCATACGGCCTATATGATCCGGAAAAGAAGCAAACCTTATGACTTATGTATAATAGTATACAACACTTTATCTAGACAAACATCATTACCCATATCTTTATATTTGTAGATAACAAACACTCTTTTAGGGAAGGGTTTGTGATTCTAGTTTATTGTTTTTTGATGATATGGTTTTGAAGCTGGAGATTCTGTGTTGATGAGATCTTCTGAGAACGAGAAGAACCCGTATGTAGCTCGTGTGGAGAACATAGAAGCAGATGTCAAAGGAAACGTGAAGGTTAAAGTTCGATGGTATTATCGTCCAGAGGAATCAATGGGAGGGAGAAGACAATTTCATGGGATAAAAGAGTTGTTTTTATCCGACCACTTTGATATTCAAAGTGCTCATACAATTGAAGACAAATGTATTGTCCATTCCTTCAAAAATTACACCAAGCTTGAGGATGTGGGACCCGAGGACTACTTTTGTAGATTTGAGTACAAGGCTGCCACCGGAGGGTTCACGCCTGACCGTGTTGCAGTGTAAGTTTTGAACAGGTTGTACTGTGTTTGATGTGTATTGGACTGGAACTGAGACTGATGCCAATGAGACAAAATTTTCAATTTATTTGTCCATCCCAAAGACGAAAATGCCCTCCTCATCTACATCGTTAAAAATAACCGTAGAAAGTTATAAATAGAAAAAAAAAGTCATGGAAAATGTATTTCAAGCATTTTAGTTAAGGGGACAATACTAGAAAAGCATTGTACTTTTATAATTTTATGGAATTAGCCATCTAACAATTTATGGTAGTGATTACACCATTATACTTTTTGACCATTTAAAAAAACATTTTTCCATGTTATTCGGGGAAAAACACAGAAAAGCGCAACGTACTTTTACCATGTTATCGATTTAGCCACCGAACTATTATTGTAATAAATTAATAATCATAAGAAAATGATACTTTCATGATAAAAAGGTGAAAGTATGTTGTGCTTTTCTGCTATTTCTGCCTTTTTTAAAACCTGCTAACTAGGAAAAAGAAATATAAAGCAGTCAAAAGTTAAATGGTAGAAGTACAAGGCATTTTTTTTGTGTTAACCGAAAACTAGTTATTAACCTTAAGTTATTCCTAAGTTGATAGATGAGACTTCACTATGATAAAAATTGAGTTCCAAAAATTTCAATTTTTTATTTGCTCTCATCTGTCCAAAAGACGTAAATGCCCTCCTCACCTTCATTATCAAAAATAGCCCTAGAAAGCTTGTCCCGTGTAACAAATGCATGCAGCCTCACTTTTTTAATAATTGATTAAATCATTTTTCCAATTTGAAGCTTCAAATTACTATTTTATGATTTTGTTTTGAAGGTATTGCAAATGTGAAATGCCATATAATCCTGATGACTTAATGGTACAATGTGAAGCTTGCAAAGACTGGTATGTCATTATTGAAAAATTTGTTTCATCTTCTGTTTCTTTCTCAATTCTCGTTACAATGTATTTGTAGCATTAAAATCAAATATATTCAGCAGTGATTAAAGTAAGCATTATACCATTTTATTGTGTTTGCAATTGTAGGTATCATCCAACTTGTTTGAATATGACTACTGAGCAGGCAAAGCAATTAGATAGCTTTACATGTTCTGATTGCTCATCTGAAGATGTTAAGAGACCTCCAAATAGAAATTCTGCATCTTCTCTGGTCAATGGCAAGGTCAAAGTCAGACTACTCTCCAACCCCCAAAAAATTAATCGCTTTAGATATTTTTTCTTTTTTACTTAATCTGTTAAGCTATATACGAGTGATTCTTTTTGACTTGATGCAGAAATAGCAATGTTTTTTAATTGATTTGTTCATTATAGAATCCTACTTTTATCTAAATCTATCCAGTTATATAGCAGCAGATAGAAAGCAATTTTCATTGCTATAATTTGGTAAAAAAAAATTACGTTATAAGAAAAAAGAAGTTGAAAAGTGCAATGCCTTAATATGAAAAAAAATAATAATAATTTGAAAGTAAAATGCTGTAGTAGATAGAAATGTAAAGTATGTTGCTATTTCTCAAATATTTTTGTAAACACCATTTATTCAAATTGCATGGTTTGGGTGATGATCATTTTTCATGCGTCTGATTTGGTTGTCTTGGATTTTTAATTTTGCAGGGTGAACACAAGAGACAAAAGAGGTGATTTCAGTTGGTGTGGTTGAAGAGAGAGGGTTGTACCATGTGTTATGGGTGTTGTACAGTGCAGAAAAAAAAACTAACTCAAGAGTCTTTTGGTTGGAAAACAGTTAGTGATGAGAAAATTGTAGGTTAAACTTTTTAAATTGTATTTCCGGATTTCTCCTTTCAAATTTGGTTGTTTCCTAGGCATGTGTGTGTTTCTTTCAAGTTTTTTTTTTTTTTGTCTACATGAAATGTTGTTTTGATAAATCATATTTAAAAAGTAGTATTTAAAAATCACAGCCACACTCGGAGAAATGGAAGGAAAACTATAAGCAAGAACAATTTTGTAAAAAGTTATATAACTTAAACCAGAACCCAAGTCATTCTTTTTGTATTAAGTAAATAAAAACATATGTTTGGAACAAAAAATTACACCTTATCGGACAAAGAAAAAATTACAAATTTTATTTTAGGTTTAATTCCAGTTCAATGTGTGTTGCAATATATTTTGTTTTATTTTAAAATTCCAAGATAATCTAAAACTAAAAAAAAAGTTTCCATTATTTCAACTCAGAAACTTGTACAAAGAGAGCAACCTACTCTTTTTGCTCTTAACGAATGAAATATGTCTGGTTGTTGTAAAAGCTTAGCGTTTGTACTTTGTGCCATAGAGATTCATAGTTGTACTACCCCATGCATGTATACTTGTACCTCAAGATACAACCAAAACCAAACATGCAAACAAAACAGCACATAACAAATGCAAACAGTGATACAATAAACCATCATGACAATATATATGCATAAAGTGGTTGTACTATGTGTTACAAAATTTGTACCCCGTTCACGGTATACTTGTACATGAAGCAACTAGCTTTTGATGTATATGAATTGTATCTATACAAATATTATACACATCACATTTAGAAATGAGGTTTATATGTTAATATAACATGTCGTGATCAGGGGTTTTGTATATGAATCCTGAGTCCCCATTAGATCGTTTGTTGGCCATGCTTGCCCTTTGCATTAAACGAACTAATGCTTGCACAACTTCAGACATGGGAGGCCGAAACTCTGGTTCGGGCTGCACACCAAAAAAATAGCAATGTACTTTCATTTGACTTTTATGTTTTCAAATTACAACATTAGCCTTTAAAAAAATGTAATGTATAAACGTGTGTGTGTGTAGAATAATTTGATTTGAAGAAGTTTACCTGAACACAAAGGGCAATGACATCAGCAAACCTAGACAAAGACTTGGCAGGATACATGCCATTGAGTGAAGGATCAACCATTTTAGCCAATAAGTCTATATCATGAAGTTGAGGGGTCGCCCATCTCACAAGTGATTGCTCAGATCTCACTCTCGAGCTACACGTTTATTTTAAAAAAAAATTAATTTTATTATTGCAATTTAAAAAATGGCTGAGAATATTTTTTAATTGGTTGAGAGTTTGTGTGTTTACCTGTCGAGTGGCTTTCGACCAGTCAAAAGCTCCAACATTACGACTCCAAAGCTATAAACATCACTTTTTGTAGTATAAATACCCGACAATGCAAATTCAGGGGCACTATAACCAAATGAACCCACTGTCTGTGTTGTTGATGTCTGTACAAAAGTCCTTCTTATTAGGATATTCTACTTTCAATTTTTTCTTCTTATTACGACATTATATTTTGAAAACTCTGTCTAATTAGTAATTATACTATATGAGTAGCCGGTGGGTAACTTGCTACTTTTTAAAAGCAATAATTTCAAAGTAAAATGAAAATACATTGCTATATGTAATTGTTAACTAAATATTTATTTTTGTAATATCTTAAGAATGACCAAATTTTAATTGTACAAACTAAACCCTTGAACTTTCTAGTTTTGTCCCAATCAGCCAACTTTTTGACTCCTTTGACCGGTCACTATGCAGATTGGGACGCCATGTCAGCATCTAAGCGGTCAAAGTTTGGCTGAGTGACTTGATTGTGACAGAATTAGAAAGTGAGTGACATGGCTTAAAAAGTTTGGCATAGTTAGTTGCTATTTTATGACATTAACCCTTCTTTTATACCTAAAAGTAGAAACAGAAATGTGTGGTGTGGGGTCCACCAATTTACCTCCCGCTGTGTGTTTGGTGTAAGAGCGGCTAAACCACAGTCTGATAAATGAGGGTTGAGCTCCTCATCGAGTAAAATGTTTGATGACTTGAAGTTTTTATGTACAACACATGGCATGCAAACTTCATGCAAATACCTATCAGACATACCAACCATTTAGGAGGTGGAAATAGAGATATCTTTAATTTTTTAGACAAAATTACATTTTTGTCCCTAACTTTATAGTCATTTTTTTTTGGATTTGGTCCAAAAATAAATATGTTTTGCCTTTTTGGTCCCTATGGTGCCATTTCTTAACCTTTTTGGTCCTTGAGCCGTCTAAATTAACATCCCAGCAGTTAATATAAGAAAATGAACATTATACTGTGTCTCTTTCATAGGGACCCAAATCCAATTCCTTTTTGGACCAAATCCAACAGAAATGACCATAACACAGGGACGAAATTGTCATTTACTCGTTAGTGACATACTCTAGGGCTCGAGCTGTGCCGAGTGCTACTTTAACACGTGCATTCCATGTGAGGGACTTGTTCTGCTCATCACCAAAATGCAACAAATCATGCAAACTCCCATTTGCAATGTATTCATAAACCAAAAGGCGTTGTCCATGCTCTACACAATATCCTTCTAACAGAACTATGTTTGGATGCCTTAGTCGTGACATATTTGAAACATTTGCTACAAAATTATCTTCATCTTGTAGTGACAATGCTGAATTATCTATTTTCTTGATGACCATCATCTATGTGACAATTAAATTTACCAACAAAAATAATTATGTTATAGACATAAAAAAAAGAAGCTCGACAAAGATCTGGAGCACCAGAATAAATAAATAAATAAATAAATATACCTTCCCTCTGGGGAACTCTGCTTTGTAAACACGACCTAAAGAGCCTTCACCAATTATGTTTTCTTGACTGAAACTGTTGGTTGCTGTTTGTAAAGCTGCAACTGTGTATGGGATTGATGTTATAGGAGACCCAACACTCTTTGTAGTTGTAGACCCATAATTTTGTATCTCAAACGTGTTTTCTTCTGTTGGTTTTACCCACTGCTCTTGCATTTCTGTATTAACTGCAAACAAACAGTGAACGCATTTTACTCCATGAATGTTTTCAAATATTCCCTCTTTGGGAGGAGGGTATTCATGTCTTTTTGCAGGTCTGGACAGGCTTTCTAGTTTCTACAACTATTTTCAATGATGAGGATGAGGAGGGTATTTATGTCTTTTCCACAAACGAGAGAGATCCATAGCGAATTTTTGTCCCATCGACACATGTTGTAGTTCTATCATGTCATGTCATGCATAAAAAACAAGGCTTAAAGAAGATGGTAAGAATATTTCTCACCACTGAGTGGATGGCTTTCTGTAGAAGTTTTATGACCCTTTTCCGTTTTTACCCCTTTTCGAAGGCAGAAGACGAGTAAAAGAAACCCTAAAAAGAGCAAGAGTGCAGAACACAAACTTATGCCTAAAATAGCTCCAATCCTCAGCTTTTTCTGATTACTACTTCTTGACAGTTGACCATTAGAGCCTGTAGGCACACTTGGAAGAGAATGGCTTCTATTGTTATTGATTATAAGGGGTGAAGGTGGGGTGTATGGAGGTGGAAGAGGAGCAGGAGCATTCTCAAATGAATTTCCATCATATCTGTTTCATTTCAACAAAAAGATAAATCTCATAATAACAAAAACAATAACAATAACAATGGGGTAAGGGGATAAGTTATTACACGTATCAAGTTTAATAGCTTACATGAAAGTAGGTATAGAGAGAAGCTCCTTTGGTATCCATCCAGTGAAATTGTTGTTTGCTATATTTCTGTTAAGGAGAAAACATATAAGATATAATTGGAACAATTTAAGAACACAACAAAACAATATGAGAGTTTGTGAAACTTACATATTTGTCAAAGGTAGACTAGAAAGGGAACTTAAAGAACCAGTTAATTGATTGTTCTGTGCATGACTGAAATTTTTAAAAAGTATCATTAGAATTTTGGACATATTAAGCCAATAATTAAGCAATGGGTAGTGATAAATATAGGCTCACAATGTAGAAATGTTTGACAATGAACTGATGGAATTTGGTAGATCTCCAGTGAAGTTGTTATGTGAAAGATCCCTGCATTTACATGTAAATGTATCAGATCTAGTCATAAAGAATAGTGTATAATTGGGTAGATTTTTCAAAGTATAAGGCCTTAATAAGAAAAAAAGTGAAATGAAAAATACTGTAATACAAAGATATGAAAGTAAGATGCTATAAGACATAAATAAATGAAAGTATGTTTCTATTTCTTGCATTTAGCCCAAATATAGATGCATATATAAAATGTGGTCTGTAAGTATTGCAGTTTGAACTTACAAAGTTGCAAGGCTAGTGAGATTATAAAAAATATTGCCAATATTCTGAGAGAGCATATTGCTACTAAGATTCCTGAAACCAAGATTAACTGGATTAAACATTGTGGAAAATAACATTAGATCATGTATATGTGTGTTATGGTGCTCACATGTAATTCAGATTAAACATCACAGCAATGGAATAAGGAAGACTTCCACTTATATTGTTGTTTGCAAAATTCCTGCATGCAACAACAAATGTGTATTCGCATAAACTTGATGAATATTTTTAATAAAAACTGGTAAATATTGAAAGTAAAAAAGGATCCGAGAAATGATTAAATATTACAGGCTGGTAAGATTTGGTGGTAACTGATATGGAAGTGTGTCATGAATGTTGTTACCACTTAAATCCCTACAAAAAAAACACCCAAAATGAAACTTAAATTAGGAACATATAGCCTATTTTTGTTACACAGGACAAGACATGATATGACATGACATGACAGAACAAATTGTACTGTGTTTGCCTTGCATTGTTTGCCTTGCATGGGACTGATGTCGGTCATGTCATGACATGACATGACAGAACAGATTGTACTGTGTTTGCCTTGCATGGGACTGATGTCGGTCATGTCACGTCATGCATGACAGAACAGATTGTTCAGTGTTTGCCTTGCATGGGACTGATGGCGGTCATGTCATGTCATGACATGACATGACAGAATAGACTGTACTGTGTTTGCCTTGCATGGGACTGATGTCGGTGGGGCAAAAGTTGCACTTTTTTATTCTACCAAAAAAGTTGGGACAAGGGCGCACTCTCAATCTATTGTCTGTGTAAAAGACAAGAATGCCCTCCTCATCTGTATCATCGAATATAGCCCTAGAAAGATTGGCAAGTATGGTGAATTTAAAGATGTGTTCTCACAATGTTTTCAGTGACATGAAGCTTGATAACAAGTATCCCAATGTACCATCAAGTCCTAACCCAGGAAGTTCACTGTGTTAAGCCAACAATGATGAATCTTATTAGTTGAATGAGTGTTAAAGAAATAGCAATGTACTTCCATTTATTTCTTTATTATCGCATCCTATTTTTGTTTCTTTCTATTGCAACATTGTAATTCCAATTTTCTTTTTTCTTATTAGGACATTATACTTTGAAAAATATATATTTTTTAAAATTTAAATTATAATGATGTGATGGAAAGAAAGGAAAGTAGCATGCTATGATTTAAAAAAAAAACATAAATGAAAGTACATTGCTATTTCTTGCATCTGATGCATCTAAGCCTTGCAAAATAACTCTATTCTGGAAAAATTTAACTCACATGGAAACAACAGATGTACCCTGACAGGTAACCCCTCTCCATGACTCTCCACATGGATCACCAGCATTATTTTTCCAGTTAGTTAGCTGGGCAGCATTGTTCAAAGATGAGTACAAAACCCCAAGTGCTTGAACTGCAACCAGACAACTTTTTTTACATGAAAAGATTCTAAATGAAAGAAATTACTCTCTTTTCATGGAGATGATTTCAATAGTGATGAAGTTAGTAGTAAACTTGGTTTTAATCTGATTTAGCTTGGATACCAGGTTTTGATGAAAAAACGAACCATTATATCATAAAAACTATTGAATCAATCATCAATGGCTATACATCCGCATAGGCCCAAGGTTCCATATGAATCACAAACAAACACACACAAACTCTGTAAAACACATTTTATTTACCCAAAACCCTCAAGTTCGAGTTTGAACGACTCAAAACCCAATTGAAGCATCAAAACACGTTGTGAAAAACAGAATTTTAATCCAAACTAACCACAATTCGAATTAAAACAACTCAAAAGTACCAAATCAGTCGAGATCAAACCAAAAATGAACAACAAAATGAAAATGAAACTAGTGTTAGTAGTGCAAATACCATCAGTTGGATCAGTAATGGCTTCAACACAGCTCAAGAACATGAAGATCACGGAAACGAACTTCAACATCAAAACGCGTTGGAAGCTGATTTTAGCCATTTTTTGAACTGTCGTGATCAAAGCATGCAATAACAGAGCCGTTGAAGGGAAGAGAAAGATGCAGGTTTCGCCATTGTTATGACCACTGGCATATTAATGGCATTGTGAGAAAGAAACGGAAGAGAGATTTTGGAATAATGGCGAGAGAGAGAGAGAGAGAGAGAGAGAAGCAGGCAGTTGAATTAATATGAAGAGAGGGAGAAGTGTCGGCGAACAAAAATGGGAACTAATAAATATTGTGATTTGTTTGTTATATTTGGAGGTAATGTTAGATCCGTTTTTATAGCCGGGTATCTATCACGTGTAAACGGGTCGGATCGTAAAAGTGTGTTATATTAATTTGATTTTATCAAACTTTATTAAATTCAAGTTTTAATCATAAATATATAAAACAGAGAGTCAATTGAGTTTGATATTATAAAGTTGTTGGCTCGACTTTGACAACGAACCAACGGAGGTCAATTTTTGTATGTCGGTTGAGTTAAACCTTTTTAGTCAGTGTATTAAATATAATTATAAAAACTCTATTATCTAGAGTAATAATATATTCTTCATATTGTGCATTAAAAATATATATTTTATACCGTTTCTGTCAATTTGACTAAGTTTCTATTTAGTTAAACTTTATTTATGTATTTAAACTGTTAAATAAATTAGTATCCAAACGGACGTAACTTTTCAAAATTGTTAAATTTAATTACTATGTTTGGGTGGGGTTTCAGTTTACTTTGTATTAGCATATACAATTTTAATAGACAGTTTTAAACTATTAAAATAAATTATTTAAATTTGTTTTACAAATTGCAGAGTTTGAATCGTGATCGAGAGTAAAGTTAGAAGTTAGAACTTACATAAATAAAAAAGATATTCATTAAAATAACTCTATTTTATAACGAGTCTTATATCTTTTATCACAAAATGACCATCTACCTCACTAAAAACGTTTCCTGATTCGTAAGATTATTTTTCTTACACAAAAGATACATTTTTATAACAAAACATCACGAATATAATATTTTTTGTGAAAACATTGTTTCCACTCGCAAGTATTTTTATATTTTCGCAATTTTTTCACGTATAAACGTTTGCTACCTAAAATGCTAAAATTATTAACGAGATGAGTTGAGTCAATGGGACAACAAAGGCCTACAATATTCATATTAAGTTGGTTTACAAGAGCACTTATTATGTATGTTCTTTTTACAAAACAGTCGTCCACATTCTTCCATAGGTAATACTTAAAACCGCATTTGCAAGGATATTACATTCGTTCATCGGAAAACCCATATATTCTTTTCATGTTAATTCAGAATGGGTGTAAGAATTGTTGAGCCAAGAGGTCGGGAAAGGAGTAAAGAAGATAAGTTTGTGCCATTGTTGCGATTTCTTGATCTTGCCCACAAAAAAAAAAGATTCTTTTCATGTTAATTAATAAAAGGAATGTCATAAATTATTAAAATTAAAAAAAAAATGATTATCTAGTAAATAGAGGCTAAGACATGTAAGTTTTTCGACCCCAAAAGCTTTGACCACAAATGGGTTCCATGGAGAGGCTAGAAAGAAAGGAGCATCCGACGATGTACGCTAAGCCAATAGCAAGTGAACCTCTAGTGAGAGAAATCTAATAGAGGTGGCCAAGAAAGAACATGAAGATCAAGGAACATAAATACAACACTCCTAAACATAAATACAACACTCCTAAACTATTTCTTCCGTTTCCAACAAGACTTAAGCCTTTAATCTTTTGTTAGATGTACCTTTCCACCAATAAGTGATACTGTTGGGCTACAAGTATTTACTTTTGTCTTCTTTTCTTTCTTAATAATGAGATTTATATATGAAAAGTAAACTCACAATTCACGATTTTGAATTGCCCAAGAATGATGGTCGTTTGTTGGGTAAAAGGAAAAAAGAAAAGTTGCATGTATAATATGGTATTTTAGTGACTAATTTTAAAAAAAAATATCAAACTATGGAATCAATTATAGAAGTTTAGTTTATTCGATTAATAGTGACTAACTTAAAAAAATGTCAAACTATGGAATCAATTATAGAAGTTTAGTTTATTCAATTAATGTTTTTTTTAATGTCTGTTTAGTGGTTAGAAGTTATTATCACCAAGTTAGTAAAAATCATCAGTGCCCAGATTAGATACCGAATTAGAACCCATGACCGTCAGTTACCAAGTAGGTTAGTCCCACATTTGTAATAGAAAGCAGTGTGTTGCGAGGGAATTGAACTCATAACCTCTTCTTCAACTACTTTTATTTGCCTAGTTTGAAGTTGTATGTTTACGGATGAAGCAATAAATTTGTATTTTCTATAGAAGCGAATAAAAATAATTGATGTACATAACGTTCAACCCAGCTATTATTTTGACATTTCAAAGGGAAACGTATATTGACATTTTGCATAATATCCACGGGGGATGAGGATTGAGGACACATCACCAAATATTGATACGTACATTCGATGTTAAATATTTGTAGCACAAATACTTTGTTTGTTTTAAATTTTATTAAGTATTTTTATCTATTATATTTAAACTTCTTAATGTTATCAGGTATTTGTTGTTTGTTATATCCATTTTTATAGGAAAAGATCGTTTGATTCGAATATATGTGAATGCAGACACAATTACCAAAAAGCTATTAATAACAGCATACATTTATAAAAAAATTAATATTGTATATCTAGAAAAAGGTTAAATACATAGCTATGCAATCATATTTTGCTATTTATCAATTTATGCAACAAAAATATATCTTTTAAATAAATTAGGTAGCCACCTTTTAACATATTACTAAAAATTGATAATTGATGCATAGATAAATTGGTAAAAGAAAATTTGTATTGCTGTAGTTAGTAACAACCTAAAACGTTGTTTCATAAATGTATAACAAGTCATTTTAATTAAAAAGTTGGTAAAAATAACAAATAATTAAATAAATATGCATTTAACCCTACCTTGTTCTTTAGATATATCACAATCATCACCACCATCACCGTCACAGTCGCCTTCTTTGGCCCCCTGTCACCACCATTGTTACCATGGCCCATCACCACTTTCATGTCAAAATTAGGTACATTAACAAATAACATTATCATTATCTTTATCATATCTACAATAGTGACATCAGGAATCTTGTCCATTCATATTTGTAATGCCTTTGTTTTGAAACTAATGGTCACGTCGATTATGATATAGAGTTCATGAAAAGAGTTTTAATGATATTAAACTACTATTGTTATTGTATATATTTAATTCTTTGTTATAATAGTAATATGATTTTGATTTTTAACACATGTGCATTCATATATTTTTTATTAGGGAGGATGAATTATTGAAATAAAGTTTATCATCTTGTGAACGCACAGAAAAAAGTTGGTCAGCAAAGCAAAGTAGATTTAATTTCTTTTGTATTTTCTATTTCGATGTAAAACAAAAGACTATGTTTTGTCGACAGGGATTAGGGATATATATTTTGTAAAAGGTTTATAAACACAAAAAATAACAAAATATTTTAGAAAAAAAAAATCATATGTTAAGCAATATATTTTAATGCAGAATGATAATATTCTAATTTTCATATGTTAAAGCAATGTATTTACACCATTGGCCCATTTCTTTTACACACGAAATTCTTTCTTTGAAGGTAATAAATAAAATTTACAAGTAACCTATGGGACTCTACACGAACACATGGGCCAAACCGAGATGCCATCTTCTATTCTAATAAAACAGTACATTAGATGACACATGACACCATCTTAGTCCATCCCTCTTGGCTTTTCCCGCTCATTTGACCTAACTGAAATTCCAGAATTGCCCTTTATGTTATTAATCACTGAAAAGTCGAAAAATTATAAAAATCTTTTTATAAATCGGTAAATATTTAAATCAGGAAATCATGATATTTGAAATTTGAATTTTCAATTATACCATATAATTCTGCAACAAATATGGCAGAAAATAAATGTTAAACTCTATCACTCCCAAAAAATCAGCAAATCAAAATTCAATCCCAACAAATCAGCAATCGAATATCAGTCGGATATATATACACCTTTACATGCGTGCTTACCTTCCTGTTTCACTACGCATAGATCAAACTTTATTCATCAGGTAAGGAGACTACATTGTTTACTCTGTGTTTTTAATATATCGATGGTATACTCATAGATTTATCGCTCTTTTTTTTGTGGTTGTAGTGTGTTTTTCCTATATCCAGGGTATATACTCATCGACTTTTTAGTTTTGGACTGCATAATCAACCAGGTCAGTTTACTGTTTTTTAATCTGTTAACCCTGCTTTTTATAACCTGTTTTCCCTGTTTTTTATAAACTGTAATTAATAACACATATTTTTTCCTAAATGTATTTAATTGTTTTAATTGTTTTTTATAAACTGTTTGATCATGTACCTGTATCACGGATTGTTGAATAGCAATGTATTTTATAAACTGTTGATCATGTTTTTTCCTTATGTATTTTAACTCATTTATGTACCCATTACTCACTTAAAGAAATTATAACATTGTGTATTTCTATCGATCAAAATCAGTTAAATAGCAATGTACTTTTTTTTAAGTATATGTTTTCTTTACGAATTTTTTGATTATATTTAAAAACTTTTTTTGTTAAATATACTTTTTTTTAATTTTCAAGGTATAATGGAAGATATTACTCCATCAAAGGAGATTGACTCAATCAAGGACGGTTTCACAATTAAGGTTCGCATCATACGTCTTTGGACTCAAAAGTCAAATTTTGATGCAAATGACACATACTCGATTGAAACGATTCTGATGGATGAGGAGGTATAACATGCATATATTCAATTATTATTTTTATAAAAATTTATTGATATTTGTAAATTAATTATTTTTTAGGGAAGGAAAATTCATGCATCTTGTCTGAAGAAATGGTTTCCTAAATTCCAGCGCTATTTAAAAGAGGATACTTCATTATACATCAGGAAACCTAATGTCGCACCAAATACTTCAAACTTTAACTTTGCTGATCCGGACAAAAACTTACTTTAAATCCCGATACAACTCTAAAAGAGTGTGAAAACTTTTCTGGTTCTGCACATGGGTTTGCTTTTGTTGACTTCAATACGATTCTTTCTAACAACATCCTGGAGTCAAACTCTATTGGTTGGTTTTTTTAATATTAATTTTTCTTATATAACATCCTGCTTTCTTTCTTTTTTATTATAAATTCATAATTTTTATTAACTTAAGCATGTGTTTTGTTGCTTTTGTAGATATTATTGGACACATTTTTTAATATGGGCGTATGGACACCTCGGAACAAGATAAATCAAAACACAAAATGCTCATGCATCTTCAAGATATAGAGTATTCACCATTATTATAAACAAATAATATATTTTCTTTTAAAATATCTACATTATTTCTTTATTTTTTCAGGGATACTAAGCTTAAGGTAACTTTGTGGGGTCATAATGCATACTACATGCATGATTTTCTTGCTAACAATAATAGTCTTGCTCCAATTGTTGTTATTGTTCAATTTGCCAAAGTGGAGTTTATTAATGGTTTGCAATTATATTTAACAACCATTTTTAGAATTTTATATTTATAATTTAATAATCAATTTTATTTTTGCAGATCGTCCTTTTACATCCACTTACTTTGATGTTAGTAGGTTGTTCGTAAACAATGATATCGATGAAATTACAATCTACAAAAACAAGTATTTTGATTTATAATTCCGTTTGTATTATCATATTTACTTATTTCATACTATAATAAATGTAATACCTTTCTTTTTTATCAATGAACAGATTGATATCTGAAAATGGACAACAACTTTCATCAAGTGGAATCAAGATGATTGCATCAAAACAAGACACGGAACACGATGACTTTCTGAAAAATAATTTGTTTTCGAATATTGATAATGTGTTTGAACCTTTGGAGGTACTTTACGTTATTTTTAAATTTGTTACTTTAATGCACTTTTATTTTTAAATTTTAAAAGTTTAAGAAACAAACATAGTATATTGTTATAACGAAACTAACATACACTGGCATAAACTAAAAATTTTCTTAACATTAAACATTATTTAAATTTCCAGGAAAAACGGTTGTTATTGTTGGTACTGTTAAGGGAATACGTCAAAACATACGTTGGTATTACCTTGCTTGTAGCAACTGCAAAAAGCCAGCAAAACAAAAAGAGTCTTCTACTGATAAGGTTGATGGTTCTCATGAAGTGGTTGAAATCGTTACTTATGAATGTGCTAATCCTAAATGCAAAAATATCAAAATTTCGGTTATTCCAAGGTATTACATATTTATTTTATATAAAAAAACAATATATGTTTATCATAATTGTGTAATATAATATGATTTTATACTTTATTTAGATTTAAAATCCCACTTCGGGTTCAAGATAACACAGGAACCTTAACTTTAACCTTATTTGATCGCAAAGAAGTTGTTTAAATATACAACTAAAGAGTTGTATGATAAAAACAAGAAGGTATTATTTTATAGTTCTAAATTACTTCTTTATGTTATACAATTATATATTTATACACAAATTTTCTAACAATATTTATTTATATTTTAGCTTGGCATCAATTTGGATTTGTATCCAATGGAGTTGAAAGTTGTGGTGGACAAAAAGTTGGCGATTAAAATTGATATCTCAAGTTACAATGTCACTAATAAAAGTAATATTTATGGGATATCAAGATTAACCGATAATGCAGACATAATTGATCAACTGGAAAAAAAGAATATTATTCCACATGTTATTTTCAACAATTATATTTAGTTTTTACCACTTAGACCCAACAATATCTGACTCAATAGCATTTTGTTTTTGATCTGATGATGCAGCCTGCTAATTCGGATTCATTCATGATTGGTTCTTCAGATATTGGTTCCCAAGAGACCAAAGTTGTCAAGGTTGTAGTTTTTAAATTATAATTTTGAAGTATTATGTTTTAATGTATAACAACTAACTAAATTTTTTTTCTAGGATTCTTTTTCACAGACAGGTGACAATTTAACACCTTGTGCCAAGGACAACTCAACTGCAACAAGTCCTACAAAGTTCATTTCTACACCAACTGAGTTGAAAAGAAACCTTGCTACATGCATAGATCTTGATGAAATGGAGAATTTGTCAACATCTAAGTCTGCTCAATTGTTACCACCGGATGAACAACCAATGCCTCTTTTGGTCCCCAAGAAATAAAAGTAAATGTATTTTACTTTTACAAACAATCTTACTTCATGGTTAATTTTTTTTTCTGCACCATAGACTCTTAAGCCGTTTACATTTTTAGGTGGATTGGTTTTGAATGGTTTTTGTTTGGATTTGATGGTTTTTATATTTATTTCTTGAATATACATTGTGTTATTTTTTTCATTCCTATAATGTCGTTTACTATGTTATTTTGATTTTGGTAGAACTGATTTTATACAACATTGCTTTTATCTCCCAAATGACTATTATTTATTCAATATTGGATAATATAACATCTTATTATGACTTTATTCTTCATTCGAAAGTATTCATTAAGGAGTAAACATTAACCTAGGGATTAATACAATAAATAGCAATGTACTATCATTTATTTGTGTATAGAAAAAATAAAAGTATCATGATATTAGACATCAAATATAAACATTAAGTGGTATTACGTATTTGTTATTGAACATCACCAAAAAAAAATCCTTTGATAATAACATTGTGTATTTCTAACTGTATTTAACTAAGTTATTTACCCATAATTTAGTTTTAAGGTTCTTCTACTTGATAAATTCATGTCTCCAATTCAAAATCATATATGTACTTTTATTAGTTGTTGATTATAGCAATGTAATTTCTGCCAAAAGAACTTTATTTTTACACTTATATCATGGATTGTTCAATGTTCAATTTGAAACGTAATTATTATACAATGCCTAAATTGCCCCTCCACTATCAATATAATCTTTAATCAATCAATTGTAGAATTTACATTATCTATGTATTTAACAAACTTATTTACTAATAACTCACTTAAACAAATGTTAAAATTGTCTATTCTATCAATCAAAATCAGTTAAATATCAAATTACCTATATCAGGATTTGTGTAATTAAAATAACTATATGTTTTGTTTTTAAATATTTTAAAATGCCTAAAATGCCCCCTCCCACTATTAAGATAGTCTTATTTACTAATAACTCACCCAAATTGCCCTTAAAGTTTGATTCTGAATTTGTACATAACGTTTCTAAAAATGTTCTTCAAGTTCCTAATTTAGTTTTAAGGTTATTATACTTGATAAATTCATGTCTCCAATTCAAGATCCTATATGTACTTTTATTCGTTGCTGATTATAGCAATGTAATTTCTGCCAAAAGAACTTTATTTTTAATCTTATAAAATGCCTAAAATGCCCCTCCCACTATTAAGATAGTCTTTAATCAATTAAGTCAGATATTCGCTGTGGATGCACTCTATGTTGTTCTTGATTTTTTTTTTTTAATTTCATATTATGTACAATTAATGGCGTTTTACAATATTTTAATTTAAGACTTTTATATTTAATATAAATAGTATTTGTTTGTATTTTAATTTATCAATGTTATATAACTATACAATAAATATATTTTTTATATTAGGCTACATAAAAAAAATATTTTAATGAAATAATTTTTTAAAATTTGACATACTTACACAATATGATAAAAACTAAATATAATAATAATTAATCATTACACCCGCCGTCGTTCAACTTGAACCTCCCCTGTACCCTGGACGTAATCGCGACTGATGTGTTTACGGCGTGCGTCGATGTCTCTTCATCTCTAATTGATCATCTATTTAAACCCTCCCTGTATATGTAAACTCTCATTCTTGCATTTTCATCACCATCAAAAGATAACTTCGAATTTCTCATCCTCTGTGAAAAAAATCCGACGAACAATGGCAACAAACATGAATGTCAATCCATGGGCAAAGCCGAGGTATCAACTATGGACTGTAAGCAGTGAGCAACCAAAAAACACACCGATTGTAGAGTATGGCAAAGGAAACGACAAGAGGTTCACCATTAGAGTTGTCCATGGCGAATATTTTACTGATTATCCATGTAAAGCATATGAAAAAACAAAAGTTCACTTTATTACTTTTGTCAACATCGATTTGCTTGACATGGATTTGCTTGGTAGTTTTTCTAAAAGTTTGGGTTATACAACTATGGGATATTAGTATCATATGCCAACTGAACAACATTCTGGTTGTCAATGACTCCAATTTTGGATGATGATGCTTTGGGAAATTTCAAAGCAATGGTTAGGGCACATCAATTCTATGAGATTGAACATCTGTATGTGGAACACAAGCCAGTATATGTGCCAACCAATTTTCCCCACTCCATGATGAACTCACCAGCCAAAAGAGTTGAGAAGCTTATTCATCTCTTTGTAACTAAACACCCAATGTCAATAGTTGATGATGGAATAGCATACATCAAGCATATGCTATACATGACCATTCCCAGAGGAAAGATGGAAGATGCAATGGACATAGTTAAAGAGAATGTTATTTCATGGAAAAACTTAGTGTAGGTAACTGTTATCTCTTTTTTTTATGAAGTTACATATTTCATGGTTAAGACATTTAGTAATTATCTTTTGTATATTGGGTGAATATATGTCACACCCCCGAACCAGACGGCGGAAACGTCTGTGGGCTCGTGTGACTATAAATTGAAATATCATCACAATGAATATGCATGAAGCATAACACAATAGTCACCAACATTACATATTACAACTTGCATTGTTCACATCAACTACATTGTTTAACATTACATAATTCGAAAACATAAATTGTACGATAATTGACACGTGCATAAAAGACATCCCAAAATATTCTTGATGGTTCTTCAGCTTAACGTTTACCTGAGAATACAAGTTATTTTGAAAACGGTCAACATATATAATGTTAGTGAGTTCATAAGCATGTTTGATTGAAAAACTTTGTATTGGGTGCATAACCCAGAAAATCCGATATTTTCTGTAAAATTCTTTGAAAAAGATGTAATGACCAAGTATAAATGTATGTGTGATTTTCATTGTAAAATCATGTGTAAATGAAAAGTCCAAATTCCTTGTATTATATCTGTTATGAGGAAAGGTAATGATAATAGTGTTTCCCCCAGAAAATCCGATATTTTCTGATTTATAAAAATGTTATAGTTCTTGCGTCATCGTATAAGTTGTTTTGTATCGACACGATCGAAGGGTTTAATTTTGGAAATGTTAAGATAGTATTGGATCTCTATGTGAGCCGTTATAACCATGCATGATAATGACTAAATTGCCTGTCTTGGCATTTTTCCAAACGCCGGTATTTGATCAAGGTTTCGTCGCCCTAGACTAGCCTAGTCTAGCTGTAGCGAACAACTAAAGCATGGGAGGTCACCCCGTATAGATCTATACACAAACTCTCGCTCTCCCTCCAGGAGACTCTGATTATAATTACAGGCTACGGTCATACACTCAGTGATGTCAACCGACAAGTCCCACTAGATCCCAAATGTTTCCGCATGAATATGTATAACGTTATATGTATTTAGTTTTACAAACACCCGATGATATATAAATGTGAAATGGTAAAGCCCAACAAACATAAAAAAGGACAACTGTTGCCCATTAGACGTGTAAATTGTTTTAAGGCTTGTTAGATATGCAAAAAGGACACTTAAGGCCCATCAAGCACATAATGATTAGTCCAGGCCCAATTATCATGTAAATGGGCCACTAAGGCCCAACAAACATGCAAAGGATAATTTAATAATGTAATTGGATCACTAAGGCCCAATAGACATGAAATGAATATATTAGGCCCAATAAACATGCAAATGGATCACGAAGGCCCATTAAGCATGTATTACAAGTACCAGGCCCAACATTCGTACCATTGTTTTATTTTTGTATATTTGATGTGGTGTAGTGTTTTTATACGAAGCATTTTCTTATGATGTTAAGATGTCCAACGTTTGATTTATAACTAGTAGGGAATTACTTGCGGCGTTGGCGTTGGCGCCGGGTTGGATCAAGTTTGCGTAAATGCGTAAATGCTCTTCAAAATCATGTCCAAATTAAATGTAAGGGATTGCTGATTTTTTAGGGGTTCAAGTTCCTTTGTGCAATACGGTTTTGATAAAATTTGATCTTTGATAGATCAGTTTCCCTGGAATCATCGGAGTCCAAGAACTTCCGCTGGGTATAACCGGATTCCAATACTGCTCATTTGGTACATTCACCAGTAATCCTATCCACTTTTTGTCTCTTCCAGTTGACTGTGTGTATTCAAATAAGGAAAACTCCCGTCAAAAACACAAGAATGAAAGTAAGTACAACCAAATAAAAATTAAATCTCAACTAAATATGAATTACTTTACTTTTTGGTTTTAGTAGTAGTAGGATTAGTTTGTTCGTATTGGTTTTGGTCTAGTACGAGGTTACATTTGCCTACATTCACACATCACTCTTTTAAAAGGCAAAATGACATCAAAATACTTTTAAACGACCAAGGGCATGATTGTCATTAACTCGATTAAAAAACAGATAAATATATTGTGTTGCTTACCCAAAAGTGTCATTTGATGCCTTTTCAAAGCTTCAATTTCTTCTCATTCGTTTCCTATAACCATTCAAACTAATTTGTTAGATTCACTGATAAGACAATCTATAACAAACCTGATTAATAGTAAAAAGCACACGACTTTTATTCTAAAAAAAAAAAACCTAAAGTGCATTGTCGTTTTTGGTAAAAAAAATATTGTAATAGCCAAAAAAAAAAAAGTTTATGAGCTGTGTATTTTTTACTATGACAAAAATACAAACCAAAATAACAAAGTACAAGCCAAAACAATGCAAAAAAAACTTTAAATGACCAGGGGCATAATGGTCAATAAATGGCCTGCGTTACCATATAATTAGTATAATCACATAGTCTAATTTCCTTCCTACATTTATCATTGTTTTTAATTGAAAACTGTAATTGGTAATTGAAAATTGGAAATCCGAGTCATAGGTGTAGAAGAAAAAAAATTCCAAAAAAACATTATAACCTTTTATTTTGGACCAAAATACCCTTGTGTTTCAAAACATTCCAGAACCGCTTCAATCTTATTCGCGTTTTCAAAAAAATAAGTTTAGCATACTGGAAAGAAAAAAAATAACGTTAAAGATGCAAAGTTTTTCTAAAAATAATCTTGGTAACCCGTCAAGAAATGTGCATTAAGAATCTAAAATATGTGATAACGTAATATATAATACCTTGATTTTTCTGCCAAAATTCCTCTTTGTTTTCTTGTTCCTGTATGTTGAGAATGTTTGCATACGGTCTTCAATGGTTAGTGGTAATTGCCCAAGGGGAGAATGAATAAGGTCTGTCATAAAACAAAAACACTATCAATAAGAAACAACTCAAGTTGGTTTTTTTTTATTTTAGAATACCAGATAAGTTTGTGATTTGCTTTACAGGACAGTGTTGTTGACCTGTAACCTTAGCCTGCATCCCATAAGTCGATATAGCAGTTGTTGTAAAGCAGGAAGTTGTTTCAATAGTTCTTCACTTTGTAAATCCCTTGTTCTGCTATAACCCTGCACTTATTATTATTATTATTATTATTATTATTATTATTATTATTATTATAATATAAGATAATAAAACAAAAAAATCCATATTTCACTCCTTTTGTATCAAATCAATGAAAATAATCATCTTTTTCTACAGAAAACTGATATATCAAGTATCTACTCAAATTCAAAACATTGTATTGATATTGAATTCAAATAAATATATTAAAAGAAAGAGATATATTACATGTTCTATGACTTTGATTATACTTTAATATTTAGAAGTGAAGAAGTTATTAACCTGAAAGTTCCACAATTTTATAGAAAAATTGATTAACCTAAGCTTTTATATAACTTTCAAGTGTTTCAGAATTTTATATTCTTCTATTTTTCTGCAAAAAAAAATGGAAAAAGATACACTAAAATGTTGTGAATTACTTAACCAATTATGTGATTATCATTTTCTTGAAATTAATTAATGTTATATAAAAAAATACCTTATTTTCTTGACCTTGAGCAAATGTTGGGATTTTTTCAGCTTCAATATCATATTTAAAAACTCTAAAACATTCAAGTCTTTCTTCTAAGAAAAGGCCATATGTACGCACCCAAACAGAACAATCCCAACCTGAAAATTTTATAAAAATAAAAAATAAAAGTCATGAACTACTTAAAACATTTTAAAGATTCGAATTGTAAGTTGAAAACAAATCAAAAAAGATACCAATAGGGCTTGAATCATCTTTGAAATTAGCTAGTTGAAGAACACGCCCTCTTTGTTGGAAATTTACAAGTTCTTCCCTGAAAGTTGTATCACCTTCCCTTAGTGTCCTATGGATAACTATCAGTGTTTTCAAAGCCACCTGATAAGAAACAAAAAGGTTAGATGCAGAAAATTGCAATGTACGAAGTAGAAGAACAGAATTGCGTGGATGTTGTAACGAAAATCAATTGCTACATATGGTTTTATTGTTTCTGAGAATCGTTATGATTCATAAATGACCATCAAAAGATAAAACACAATGGGCTTTTGCCATCATAAAATAGGGCAGCAACTAACATCTTATTAAGCTTAGCAAAGCATTAAATGAATGAATCATACCAAATTTCCTGAAGAATAGGCAATTATTGTTGGTCTGGTTATTATGTAAAACTGGTTTTATATCTAAATAAAACTGTTCCAGATTTCAAATAGACATTTTATCAAACAGGTCGTATGCGTCTTCACTTTCTTCAAATTTTTGTAATAATAATCCTACCAATTCAAACTCATTTCAGCTTACAATAGAGATGATTTAAAATCAAGCAACTGAAATAGGAATCGAAGAGAGAAAGTAGAGATAGACATACTTGATTTACAATCTGAATTGGAGGCATGCTTGTGAGAGGCGACGATTGTTAACAAAGTGGCGAGAAGGTGTGTGGCATGCGACCGGGTTTCCATCAATTGAAGAGAAACCTTCAAAAATCCTGTTCAATTTAACGGAGAGACAACGAAACGAAGATCCAAAAACTTGGAAACGAACAAAAAAAAACAGGAACTGGAAATAAACCCAAACCTCTTACGATGTACACCAGATAATCGTTGTTGCGTTTTTCTGGACGAACAAAGGTGTAGGAGCGATGGTGGAGATGACAGTTGGAATCGGTAAAGAAGATGCAAGCTATAGCACCGACAAATGAAAATACGAACCCTGATTCAGTAACAATGGTATCGATATAGAAAAGAGGACGGGAAATAAAGATAGAACGAAGTAAGAGGTACCTTGGTCCTAGTTTAGCAAATGGAAGCATCTGGTAACCACCAACAGAGGAATCTCCATAGCGAGCTGTGGAGGCTGCGGTGATGGTCGTCTAGCGTTTCCAGAGATGAAACAGGTTGTTTCTAGGGCTTCGATGGTGAAACCAAAAACTGGGTGAAACCAAAAACACAGCAGAAACAATGATGAAGTCTGGAGGGAAGTTACAATAAAATCAAATTCTAAGCTATTTCAAATCCAAAATTAGGGGTGATATACCTGGAATTCGCAAGCCGACCTTGAAGCCCCTTTCAAATTTGACGAAACCTACATAAAAATGAAATGAAATTAGACGTAGCCAGCCGATGCAAAACCGGAACGAAGCAGAGTGATGTAAGGGACGATGATAGAGACGTTGGAGGGGTCAGCGACTCGGAACAGCAATGCTCCTCAAAGGTGGACCACTTCCACGGACCGACTTGGCCAACACCGGTCGCCTTCAACGCCGACGAAGCACCTCCGGTATACTGTTTTCACCGACGAAGCGACTCGAAACAACTATGCTCCTCAAAGGCACTCCTCATTCATCGCCGCCTCACAAATCTACAGGAAGGCATCAAAGGAAGAAAATGGTGGGTTGAAGAGAAAACGATGAATGACAGAAGCTGTGAAAAAATTAAGGAGCCGTGGTCGTGCAAAAAAAGGGACCGTCGGTGTAGTAGATAACGATCACCAAATATTTAAGGCGGTCTCTAAAAAAAACCTTTTAAAATAAAAATGACGGCGAAGTAAAAAGAAGCAAATAGTATAGCAGCCAGTGTGGCCAAAGTAGCAGAAGGAAAAAAATGTGGCAGAAATGAGAATTGGCAAAGGTTACTGAGTTTTTAGCAATTATATATAATGATATTATTAGTTTATAAAAGAAAATATACACCATTTTTAAATCCTTATAAAAATTTATATCATTGGCTCCATGGTTTAATAATCGACACATTCGACTCAAAATGATTATTTGACCAATTCAGCCCCTTTTTCACGTAAATGACATTTTCAAGCCCCTTCTTAGTATAAAATGACATGTTAGTCTTTTTGATGAAAAATGACATTTTTAGTCCCTTAGGTCATTTTACTTGGCATTTTCAGCCCAATTATAATTTAAACTACAATTTCAGCTCAAAACGCAATTATTGACATTTCCAGCCCTTATTTGGCAAAAGTTTACATTTTTGGCCCATTTTCCGTAAATTTTACAATTTCGGCCCAAATTCCAAAAACTTTGCATTTTTAACCCAATTTAGAAATAATGTCATTTTTAAAGATGATTTTGGTTTATTTACATTTTTGGCTCACACTTTTGATCAATTAACATTTTTAATCCTAAATGTCTCATTTTTTTTCGCAAATTGGGCCCAAAACCGTAAGGCCCAAACTTCTAGGCCCAAGATGCTAAAATTTACATTTTTGGTCCTTTAAAAAGAGTGATCATCATACATTTTTCTGTTTTATCCAATATAACATCTTTGATCCTTACAAAACCAAAAACATCACTTTTAACCCTAAACTTTACTTTATTTGTCAAAGATTCTTATATAAGGCTTTTGTTTTGTTTTACACATTTTAGACATGCAATATACTATTGTCCTTGTAGTATGATGTATAAAAATGTTTTAGTTTATGAGATTCTACTTATTTTTGTCAAGGATCTCGAGATTTGTCAAGATCTAACACATTTTCACAACATAATTCAAGAAATCACACATATCATGCACAAGACATATAGATCTACACATTTTACTTGTATTCCCCTCCCCCAAAAAAAACAAGTAGAAAACCGAAAACAAGGGGGTATGAACTCACATTTGCTTTGATGTTTCGCTCTTGAAGAAGAAATGGAAGAAGTTGATGTGATTTTTGGCTCTAGCAAGCTCCTTGAGTGGTTTTCGAGCTTAGGAGATTCTAGGATGTTAGATCACGAAATGAAACTCTATAAGGAAGTGTACTTTGCTTAAGGATGAAAATCAAGACTTAAGTAATGACACACTTACCAAGATGAGGTCTAGATGAAAACCTCTTTGAAGATGCACATAAAATTTTGAAATTTGAAGGAAGATGTAGGGGTTCTTGAGAGTGTTTGAAAGATTTTTGAGAGAATGAGGGTGGTGTGAGGTGTTTCAGCCGAGAAGAAGAAGAGAGAGAAGAGAGAAGGAGTGAGGTGATGTTCATGGAGATCCACCATGCAATAAGGAGGTGGCTAACTCTCATTAATCCTCCTAATTTCCTTTTATTTTTCTTTTCTTTTAATCATTGGGCCGAGAATGGGCCTAGTGGGATGAAGAAAATGGTGTTGGGCCCAAACTCTTGGCTTGATCGAATTTTTATTGGCCCAATATTATTTTTCGACCCATTGGGCTCATTAGATGGTTCACGGCCCAAATGACATATAAGAATGGGTTTTATGGTCCATTAGAGTTAATTGGATCAATTATGGCCCAATAAGGCCCATTAAGAGTAAACCAATTCATTTTAGACTCATCATGGCCCAAAATGTTAAGCTTTATGAATATGGGTTCAATTAGAGCCCATTTAAGGGTCCTGAGCCCAAAATAGTCAAATTGGAAGCTTATTAGTCCATTAGGCCCAATAAGTAAATCCTAGTCCATAATGGACTTAAACCGGGGTTCTTAGGGTTTCAAATCCTTAATTGACTATTTGAAGTGTTTTGTATAGAGTTTTGATCTTTACTTGGTGTTTCTGAACTGTACTTGTTGTTATTGAATGAACATAGTGCATGGTGTCAAGTTAGGGTTACAAGTATTATCATAGATGATGTTTACATGATCACAAAATTTCCTGGCTAAAAATGCCAGTTGTGACATCATATCCCCGTTAGAGGGAATTTCGTTTCGAAATTCTTTCGAAAACTAGGATTATGAAGGAGAGAATAAGTGAGGGTACTTCTGCTTCATTTGATCTTCGCGTTCCCATGTGAATTCCGGTCCACGCTTGGCGTTCCATCAAACCTTCACAATCGGAATGCGGCTTTGCTTTGTACGCTTTACTTCCCTATCCAATATTTCGACTGGTTCTTCGACGAATAGGAGATTCTCGTTGATCTCGATCTCTTCTATAGGAATGACAAGAGTTTCATCTGATAGGCACTTTTTCAGATTTGAGATGTGAAACACGGGGTGTGCGTTGCTGAGCTCGGCAGGTAGCTGCAACTTGTAAGCCACTGGACCAATCCGGGCAAGAATCTCGAACGGTCCAATGTATCGCGGGTTCAGTTTTCCCCGTTTCCCAAAGCGAATCATTCCTTTCCAAGGAGAGACCTTTAATAACACGCGATCCCCGACTTGAAATTCTAAGGGTTTCGCCGCTTGTCAGCACAGCTCTTCTGTCGGTCTCGCGATGCTTGGAGTCGAGCTTTGATTTGGATTATCTTTTCGGTCGTTTCACGGATGATTTCGAGTCCTGTAAGAGCACTGGCTGGCGATTGCCCTTTTGCTAGCTGGGTGTCACCCACCTCGTCCCAACACAGCGGCGATCTGCATTTACGACTATAGAGAGCCTCGAAAGGAGCAACCTTGATGCTCGTATGATAACTGTTGTTACAGGAGAATTCGATCAGAGGCAAGTGGGTATCCCATGATTTGCCGAAGTCAATCACGCAAGCTCGGATCATATCCTCGAGTGTCTGGATGGTACGCTCGCTCTGACCATCCGTCTGTGGGTGGTCGGCAGTGCTCATATCTAGTTGTGTTCCCATTGCCTTTTGAAGAGATTGCCAGAATCTTGAAGTGAATCTGCTATGTCGATATGAGATAATAGACACTGGCACTCCATGGAGTCTCACGACCTCCTTGATGTAGATTCGGGTCAGCTTTTCCATCTTGTAGGATTCTTTTATTGGTAGGAAATGAGCGGATTTTGTTAATCTATCGACGATTACCCAGATAGCATCCAATTTGTCTGCTGTCTTTGGCAATTTGGTCACAAAGTCCATAGTAATCCTTTCCCATTTCCACTCGGGTATCACTGGTTATTGCAATAATCCCGAGGGCTTTTGGTATTCCACTTTCACTTTGCCGCAAGTAAGACACTTGCCCATGAAAGTGGATATCTCTCCCTTCATATTAGGCCACCAATAATGTTGCTTGATATCCAGATACATCTTGTCTGACCTCGGATGAATATAATATCGTGTCTTGTGGGCTTCATGCATGACTACTTCTCTGAATCCCCTAATCTTAGGAACTCAGATTCTGCTCATGAAGTAGTGTGTTCCGTCCTCTTTAACTTCAAATCCCTTATCCATTCCCCGCAGTGATTCATTAGCGACATTCTCCGGTTTCAATGCGTCCAATTGGGCTTCCTTGATCTGTGAGGTTAGGTGAGATTGAATGGTGATTGATAGATTCTTCACGCGACGACTTGAATACTCTTTTCGACTCAGGGCATCGGCTACCACGTTAGCCTTGCCTGGATGGTACTTGATCTCACACTCGTAATCGTTTAGCAGCTCAACCCATCTCCGCTGCCTCATGTTTAGTTCCTTTTGATTTAAAATGTGCTGGAGGCTTTTATGATTGGTGAAAATGGTGCACTTGGTACCATAAAGGTAGTGCCTCCAAATCTTCAAGGCGAAGACCACCGCTCCCACCTCGAGATCATGGGTGGTGTAATTCACTTCATGGGTTTTTAGTTGCCTGGACGCATATGCAATTACCTTCCTGCGTTGCATCAGGACACAACCTAAACCTTGATTCGAAGCATCACAGTAAACTACGAAGTCTTCGGTTCCCTCCGGTAAGGATAGCACTGGTTCACTACAGAGGGCTTGCTTTAAGGTTTGGAAGGCAATCTCTTGCTTCACGGTCCAGTTGAAGGGTACGCCTTTTTGTGTTAATGTGGTGAGAGGTTTGGCTACCTTGGAGAAGTTCTGAATGAACCTTTGGTAGTAGCCTGCAAGACCCAAGAATTGGCGAATTTCTGTTGGTGTTGTCGGAATTGCCCAGCCTTCAATGGCTTTGACCTTGGAGGGATCTACATGAATTCCTTCCTTGCTGACAACATGACCCAAGAAATTTACACTGCGGAGCCAAAACTCACACTTGGAGAGTTTCGCATACAACTTTTCAGCCCGTAGGGTCTCTAAGATCTGCCGGAGGTGTTGGTTATGCTCTTCCTTGCTTCGAGAGTATACGAGAATATCATCGATGAAAACGATCACGAATTTGTCAAGGAATGGGCGGCAGACTCGATTCATGAGGTCTATAAATGCAGCGGGGGCATTTGTTAGACCAAGGGCATCACGACGAATTTGTAATGACTGTAACGAGTTCGGAAAGCAGTCTTAGGAATGTCCTCATCTCGGACTTTGAGTTGATGATAACCGGATCTCAGATCTATCTTTGAAAAGTAACTAGCCCCTTGAAGCTGGTCAAATAGATCATCGATTCGGGGAAGTGGATACCGGTTTTTGATGGTGAGCTTATTCAGTTCCCTATAGTCAATGCACATCCTGAAGGATCCGTCTTTCTTTTTAACGAAAAGAACCGGAGCTCCCCATGGAGAGAAGCTTGGTCTTATGAATCCTTTATCCAAGAGTTCACTCAGTTGGCTTGATAATTCTTGCATTTCGGCAGGAGCCAACCTATAGGGTGATTTGGCGATCGGAGTGGCTCCAGGCACTAGGTCGATTCGGAATTCGACTTGCCGTTTTGGGGGTATTCCCGGAAGATCTTC